GAGTACGCTTATAGTGACTAAACGCCACCGGGATCCGGGATATTTCTCATTAGTACCGATTCATGTCATGCGATTTGAAGTGTGTGACCCTCCATCCACTTTACATACGCAGCCACGAAATCAACAACAAACGGCCGCGAAAACGCAAACATACCCTCCCACCTCGCAATCAATCGTTGGCCTCATTGAGGGTGGCGAACGACTACATTATCTGGCAACGACACTTACGTGAATATTTAAAGAGATTAATTTAAAAAATTTACAACGTAAAATGAATATTTCTAGTTAAAGTCAAATAGCAAGAAATGAAAACTATCCGAACAAAACAGCCTTGTAACTTAATGACTTCCATTTAGCTCTTTGTCAAAGTACTAAATTACAAGCCACCGTCTTAGACCGTGGTAAGAAACAATTTACTTCAAATAGTTTAACTCAACTGCCCTAGATCATTTGTGATGTTCCTTACTTAATGAACTTTAAAGTTTTATTGAGTTTCATTTAAATTCGTCCCCTTAAGGACTCCTTTGAAAAACTACTATAAATGATTAGAAGTAAATAATTTGATAATATATAGAGAATATATAATGTGTATAAAGTATGTAATATTACCACCAATAAGAGACATATATCCATCATTTTAATCGTATATATTGGGTAATCGGTATTACCGAATTTACAAAATGAACTAACATAAGAATTAATCAATATAATTGCAAAATACATTACAAAAAGGCGTAGATGCCGCGTTTTATAAAAAAAAAAACTTCTCATGACGATAACCATATATAGTATGTTATATTTAGTATGATATAACCATATATAGTATTATAGTATGTTATAGTATGGTTCTGGTTATATCTAAGTTTCAGACCAAATTTATTTTTACTTTTAACTAATGAGCGCAAAGCCCAATGTGATGTTCAGTCACTGTAGTGCATGATGACCGTTACCTGGTTAAAATGTAATACTAGACTATAAGTGTGTGCGCTCATACCAGAAGTCCGAATTTGTGGCGACAAATTTAGGCTGAACATGAATATGTATACATACATAATATACTACATAGTGTACATTTTTATCCTAACCCTATCCTATCCTATCCTAATACGTGAACAAACTTTTCTCAATTATTTTTAAGTCTGTTCTCCTATTTCTTGACAAATTTATAGGTAAATAAGAAATTACTTGGATTGGACTTGAGACTGTATTCCTCAAGGGTTTGGTTAACACTGTAAATTAATGTTGTGGTTCCACCGCATCTGACTTTTTGTCGAATGATAGAGGACGTTAAAGTTCAAATTAATAAATTAAAACATTGTCATAATTTGTACATTATCGTGTGAGTGAACAGGTTGTGACAAAACATGATTCTTTCTTTCTATCTAATTATCGTTTTTTTTTAGTAATTACCTACACCAAATATAAATAATCGACACCATTAGCTCGGGAGATAAACGATCGCTTTATAATTTCACAGGAAGCGAGCAAACCGAGTTCTATTCCAACTGGCACTAATGAAATTGGTGATGAGGGCATCCACGACTTTTTGTGACACCAGGGCAGCGCCACTATAAAGTGAGGTATAATATTTGACAGCTTTCATAGCGGGGAAGTTAATTTGGTCGAAAAATGTAAAAGTTATTGTTTCTTTCTGTACTATAAATTAATTACATTAAAAATAAATAAACCAAATCACAGATATTCATAAAAATAGAAAAAATTATGTTTTGTGTATTAATATAATACTCTAGAAACTGATAATTTTTTATTAAAAACAACCTTACATACTGATCTATACGATGCTTAGCGGTAAAAAAAAAAATATTGTACAGTTAATAAGTCTATTTAGACTACCCGTAGATTCTACAGCTGATTTCTTATGATCTTCGGTTTGAGATATGATAGTGATCTTACACTTAATGATTTCGACAGCGTAATAATAATAAGCCTTTACTTTATCATTATCCATTCAACAAAAACCAATCTACCGTGAAACATAGATAGAGGCAAATAAGAGGGAATGTAATACAAAATTCAAACAATACCAGCGCGTTACTATTTGTAATCGGAAATTGAATCTGTCAGATACCGGCACAGCCTTGATCCATTGTTTTTGCGACAAGAAAACGCTTTTAGGGAGAAAAACATTACCCCTACCGTACATATTGTTTACAAGGCCCCACTCGGGATTAAGTTACGAAAACATGATATCGATACCTTGTATAAGAATAAATATGGCGGAAAAATATTTGACGTAGCGATGATACTCACTTAGGATAAATAAATAATGAATTGGAAATGAAGGCTGACTTTATGGTAAAGAAACATTTTAGTATTACAATAAATAATATGATAATGTGTAATTCAAAAATATTGTGACTTGAAAGCTTTTACATAATTTGGAATATTTATTATTTTATAATAAATATTTATTATTTTTATTACTTAGTAAGTATTAACTTCAAATTTTATACGAAGTTAATAGTTTATCTTCACTAAAAATATATTTATATATACAAATAAATAAAATTGAAGTGCCTGTTTGTAATGTCAAATTTACAGCTTTTTACTAAATGTGTATGAAAGTATATACGGTACTTACAATACTAAACAATTTTTAAAATGTTTGTATGTCTGTCTGTCTGTATGTTCCAGCTGATCTCCGAAATGGCTGGACCGATTTTGACGGACCTTGCACTGGCAGATAGCTGAAGTTATAAGGAGTAACTAAGGCTATTTTAATTTTAGAAAAATAATTAGTGTTCCGTGCAAAAAGTTTAGAAGCCTAGTAAATCCATCCTATTCGTTCCACGCTGACAAAGTAGCGAGAAACAGCTAGTTGGTTGTAAAACCTGGCAATATTGTGATTGTCCATCGAAAACGACGTTTTCACAACTTATCAGTGATAGATCAATGGAAAGGAGTAGAGAAACGTTTATATACATTTCTTGACAGAATGCTGCTTTCTGGGTATGAATCACAGTTAGATCCAACATTTAATATAAAACAAATTGTGTATTTCATATATTACATATATTACGAATAAAACATATATTGAATAAATCTATATTTTTCGGTGTTTTTAGCGTTGTATTTACTTATTTTTAAAATCGTCTCTTCCATAGTAGGGAGGATTTGTCACAATCTCCACGCTAGGTACGGGAACGAAGGCTTATAATCTTCCGCTCACCAGATTTCGCTAGTTGGGCCTGAGATGAAGTTATTTGGTACACTGTTTTTTTATAGGATAAGGTGACAAACGACCACACAGTCCACCTGATGGTAAGTGGTTGCTGTGGCCCATAGACACCTTTATACTTGATTGCGAATCACAATTCAGATGCCTTGTCACCCGTGAGGACTAAGATGGAATATTTCTTTTTCAGTAAGAAGTTTCTCCGGTTCTCTATACTCAACATACGTAACACAGCAGTGTTAAGCTGCCATTTTAGCTGGTATTCTGTGAGAGCGTGGTCATATCCCGGTCGAGCCGACTCATTCGAGCTACAACTATACTACTAGTATAGCTGCAGCATGGCTCTACTATGTATAGACTGTGCCACAGCATTGTAAAGTTACCTACGTTTTTAACAAAGGTTTTACCGTTTCTAGTAAACATTTGTACATTTTAATAATATTTTAAATTTTTTTAACTTTTAGGAATATCCGTAGTTTGGTTTATACATTTCTAAAATTATGTATAATTACATTGAAACCTGGTTATCTGGGATCTCAAGGAACCTAGAATTTTTTATCACTTATAGAAGTTTTTCATTCACCCAGTTTCCTATTTAAGCGGGTTAACATGACAGTTGTCTTATTTATAGAGGGTCCCACAATGAGAGGCCGAAATGTACCATTTATCAAATAAAGGTGGAAATTTTTATATAATAAATTTTCTCACTTATACGGGTTATTGAGCAACGAACTCCCAATTATAGAGGTAAACATCGAAAAAATCTATGAAATCTAATCTCATTTAAAAATATCCAGTAACTTTTAATGCAAAAGTGACGGGACCTCATCGTAATTATCAATAACAGAGGTTTATCACACATTCAGAGCCCACTTAACCACGTTTCACAGTAATATAAAATATAACTACTGTTGTTTAAAGAAACATTAATATTACACTTTTCTAACAGTTTTATTTCCCCGCCATGGAAGCTGTCAAATATTTCACCTTATTTAAAAGTGGAGCTAAAAATTGTGGAGGCTCGCATTATCAGACGCTTCGCACCTTTGGCACTGCTCACAGTCGCCCAGTGAACTTTTGCGTTGTTGCTTTGCAACTTTGCATTCACTACCGTCGCCCTTCTAGCTATCTTATATATGTTATTATACGGAATGGCTACATCGCTATCTATCAGAGATTATGGAATGTGTCTAGCATTATCCAAAGTGATCTTTAATGACACACATTAAACGAAATACGCTGATGAATTATATAATGCTACACCTAGTGCAGGCAGTTTTTGTGAAAAAAAAATGGTGTAATAAGTGAACGAAGTAGAAATCTATGGCGTAGGTATTTTTCATTTTTTTTAGTATAATTTAATTTAAAAAGTTAAAAAGGTGGTTTAAAATAACTAAATTTAAATCATGTGCAATCTATTTGTTCTATGCGTGGTAAGTGTCATTGAATTTGAACCTTAACATTGAATCAGTTGCTAAAATTTGAAATTATAAGTATTTATTGATAGATCAAATTGGTAGTGTCAATGAAAGAACAATACATTAGAAAAATATCTAAATCATAGATCTCTACTACTTTTACACTCAATTACACCTATAACACCCCATTACGTCCATTATACTGTTACACCCAATATTTCTTCATTATTTTGTACGTAAAATATTCAGCCGGTATATAAATGCAATAAGTCTTTCTTTGTAATCTTTAGTAACATTTATTCTATTCTAAGACTGATAACTTGAGTAAAAATTAGAGAGAGTGAAAAGGAGTATTTAATTATTAAAAGTATTAACTACAACGTTACCTTCTTCCATTGATAGCTGATCCCAGATGGCGACTTTGGTTCCAGCTGGGTCACTAAGCGCAACATAGGCTATTTCATCTCGAACCAATCGCAGATCATGGTCAAGGGCCAGTATCCAAAATGTGACTGTAACAAAAAGACATACCATTTACAATATTCGTTGTAATCTTTATATATAAAAATTACGTGTCACGTTGTTTGTCCGCGATGGACTCCTAAACTACTGAACTGATTACAATGAAATTTTGCACACTATGTGCATTTTGGTCCAACTTGAGAGATATCTATAATAATATTTAATTCTAGACACAGTCTTCAAACAAATCATAAATTCAATATATGTTACGTATATTATTAGCTCTAAGCCTAGTATACAGGGTCATTTTGCAATAACCGGCTAAATTTGCAGAGAAGGTTGTATATTTTATATACCTATAGTAAACTGTATATTTTATATATTTGAACTTAAGTTTAAAATTTGGCTCCTCTTTGAAAAATATCACTGTATAGAGCATTTGTCTAGTCTTTGTTGAGACACATATATACATATATATATATATATATATATATATATATATATATATATATATATATATATATATATATATATATATATATATGTATATATATATATATATATATCAATATAAATATATCAATCTAATCACCAACATCATTCATCATCATCATCATCATTACAGCCCTTCACAAGTCCACTGCTGAACATAGGCCTCCCCCAAAGACTGCCACAAAGCACGGTCCTGAGCCACCTGCATCCATCGACTTCCTGCATGTCTTACCAGGTCGTCACTCCATCTCGTGGGGGGACGCCCTACACTTCGCCTACCGGTACGAGGCTGCCACTCGAGAACCTTTCTTCCCCATCGGTTGTCGGTTCTTCGAGCTATATGGCCGGCCCACTGCCACTTCAGCTTACTAATCCGTTGGGCTATGTCGGTTACTCTGGTTCTACTGCGGATATCCTCATTCCTAAGTTTATCACGCAGAGAAACTCCGAGCATAGCCCTCTCCATAGCTCGCTGAGCGACCTTGAGCTTCCTCATACGGCCAGCAGTGAAGGACCACGTCTCAGTTCCATAAGTCATCACTGGCAACACGCACTGGTTGTACAATTTCGTTTTCAGGTTTTGAGGTATGTCTGACGAGAAGATGTGTCGTAGCTTCCCGAACGCTGCCCAGCCGAGTTGAATCCGTCGATTGACCTCTCGGTCGAAGTTGGACTTACCTAGTCGGACTATTTGTCCCAGGTAAACATACTCGTCAACAACTTCGAGCTTAAGGCTCCCAACAACTACCGGCATAGGTGTGACATGGACATTGAACATGATCTTTGTTTTGTCCATGTTCATCTTAAGACCTATCCGTTGGGAAACACTATCGAGGTCATTGAGCATAGTGCTTAGGTCCTCCAGCGATTCTGCCATAAGGACTATATCGTCGGCAAATCGAAGGTGAGTGATGTACTCGCCATTGATGTTGATACCGTATCCTTTCCAGTCCAGAAGCTTGAAAACGTCTTCCAATGCAGCGGTGACGAGTTTCGGGGATATGACGTCACCCTGTCTTACACCTCTCTGCAATTGGATAGGTTTCGTACTCTGGTTCTGTACTCGGATAGCCATCGTAGCCCTACTGTACAAGCACTTCAACACTTCGATATACCGACAGTCAACTTGGCACCGCTGAAGGGACTGCAGCACCGCCCAAATTTCGACGGAATCAAAGGCTTTCTCATAGTCCACATACGCCAGACATAGTGGCAAATTGTACTCTTCGGACTTCTGTACAATTTGCCGAAGGGTATGTATGTGGTCTATGGTGCTAAAGCCTTTTCGGAAACCGGCTTGTTCGGGAGGCTGGAAGTCGTCAAGTCTGCGCGCGAGACGATTCGTAATGACTCTCGAAAACAGCACGTAGACGCGGCTCAGAAGGGAAATCGGTCTGTAGTTCTTCAAGAGAGCGTTGTCACCTTTCTTGAAGAACAAGACCACCGCACTTCTGCTCCACGCCTCCGGTGTAATGCCACCATGGAGGACGGAATTAAAGAGCTTCTGAAGGACTTCAAGTACCGGTCTTCCACCCGCTTTCAGAAGCTCCGCTGTAATTCCATCCTCGCCTGGGGCCTTACCGTTTTTAAGGTGCTGGAGAGCCATTCTAATCTCGCTCAGACTGACGTCCGGGATATCTTCGGAATAGTGTCGGATGAGACTCGCTCTTGGATCGTTACTCACACTTGCGTGTGGCTCCAACGATGACGTGTACAGCTGCTCATTCATCAACCTGTATATAATATTTGTTTATTTTTAAGTTTATCAGTAGTTTTTTCCTTGATTTACTCTATTGTTCATTTTATTTTGTCACCTATCACTTAATTTCCACACGTCCCGGGTTGACTGGGAGAGAATGCTTAAAGGCATTAAGTCCGCCCTTTGTAATCCTTTTATTAAAGTGCAATAAAGTGTAAAAAATAAATAAATAAATCATTCTCAGTATTATAGCGGACAGATGGGATTCACCAATGTTAGGGCGTTGGATAAATCTGCATACTGTAAATTAGACACGCCACGACCTAGAGTAGTATTTTAATTGTAATTTTTTAATTTTATTTAATGTTTATATTTATTAATTTTAATTTTCTTTAATGGTATTTAGATTATAATTTTTTAACAAATATGGATAATTGGTCTGAAATAAATGAATTATTATTATTCTGCAGGGTAGGATTATACTGCATGAGAGTGTACGCAAGCACAGGTGCACTCTCTATTCCCTTACTCTCATAGTCCAATGAGATAGCAATCCGACAAGACCCGAGAGAGATAAGGCGCAAAACCAACGGCTTTACGCGCTTTACAAGGCACGAAAGTGAGAAACTGCCAACTTCCTGACTGCGGGCTACTGGTGAGAATTTCTTGCCAGATAAATCCAATATAGATTCGGGACCGCAGACTTGATTAAAGTAGTCACGTTTACGATAATTATACCAACGAGGCAGTCAAAACTTTAGGTGATTGGTTAAGTTGTTGGTATAATATTGGTTGTCGCACATTCCATCACGCTACACGCACCCCGCTCCCTCTAAGGTGTTAGCTTAATAAGTAAGGCAATACTATTTCATGTCTTTTTCTTACGTGGTAGAGCCATGATACAGCTATATTAGTAGTATAGTTGTAGCACAAATGGGTCGGCTCGACAGGGGAAGAAACACGCTCTCACAGAATACCATCGTTAAATAGCAGCTTAAAACTGCTGTTTTCGTTGAGTGTAGAGAACCGGATACCCTTTTTACTGGAAAAGAGGCATTCCATCTTAGTCCTCACGGGTGATAACGCATATGCTTTTTGATTCGCAAACGAGGGTAGATGTAGATATCTATGGGCCACAGAAACCACTTACCATCAGGTGGACTGTGTGTTGTTTGTCACTCTATCCTATAAAAAAAGTCACCGGTTAGGATAACATGGTTATTGTAATTTTTGAGGTGGTTATTTCACCTTCTGTCAAATGCCATAAGATTTTGTGTGCAGTTTTTTTACTACTTTTAACGATGTGGATTTCTTCACGAAGCTACAATAACCAATTCTGCTCCAGATTAACAAGAGATCATGCTAACTGAATTACAAAATGAATACGCGTGGTAGGATGTCGTTAATTAAAAAAAGGGCATACTTTTTATAAAATATGGGTAACAGACAAACACACACACAGTCCTACTTATGCTAAGTGAATGTTGTTGCCTATAGACATCGACATCTATCTTTGATTAAGAACCAAAAAGCAGACTTGGACTAAGATGGAATATCACGTTTCCAGTAAAATAGGTCTCCGGTTCTATTCACTTATCATACGAAACACAGCAGCAATAAGCTATTTTACGCTTATATTCTGTGAGCCCGTCGTCCATAAAAAGTTCCCGTTCGAGCCGACCCATCCGTTCTACAACTATAATATAGCGCCAGCTTGGCTCTCCATGTATAGTATTTGGTTTGTGGCGTTCGTTCAAATATTCCATATATGTCACAAAAACAATTTTTCTATATATATAGGTATATAATGTATAAAATAATCTCGAAAACAACATAAAGTTAAGCCGAATAAAGTGAAGCGAGAATTATAAAAATCAAATATTGAGCGCAGGTTCAATAAGCGCCTTTTTATAACATCTTAACGGCAGGCGATTTATCGACTCAGTTAATGGTCCGTTCACGAAATTTGATGTTATCAACTGTTAATATTTTTGCATTAATTTTATGGAGTCTCGCATCTTATTGTTTCGGAATAAAAGAATAAGCTCTGGTAAAAGAACTCTTACTTTTCTAAGCAAATATTCGATAATAAGAGCATTTTAAGTGTTTTCCACAAAGGTATGGATGGCATGATAATTAATGTGATACTCTTCGTGTAGTGGCGGTGAAAGAATATCCACTACCCCATATCATTCCATGGGTGTTGTAAGCGGCGACAGAGGGAAACAAATCAGGAGCTGGGCAGCAGCGTCTTCCTCATGACGACTAAAAGTAAAAAACTGCGGATGCCAACCCGCATGCCAAGCGTAGCAACTGTGGCAAATATTCGCCCTATGAGGCAATCTATGGGAAAGCCTAGGAAATAGAGTTGTGAATACACTTGCGCCGCCATTATGTCCAACTGAACTTTTACAATGCATTATTGATCAAATATGCATATTTAATGTATAACAATAACTAATTAGAAATAGTTTGGAAAATCCAAAAGTGCATGCCTCATGAAAGTTTCGTTTAATTTTGATGAAAAAAAAATTGCGTGAGGTAAACCTCTACTTCACGCTGGTTCTCTGTGAGGTCGTGGTACCACCCCGGTTCGAGCCGGCCCATCCGTGCGACAGCAAAAGCTGCCGCGTGGCTCTACCACTGTTAGAACCTTGACGTGTCGAGAGTAAAACACACCTATAACGCTTCGCGTTATGGGGCATGCAATAGCATCTGCAATGTTACGAATAAAACTATAAATTAAACAAATTAAATATCTGAACACCATCCCATGGTTGAAATTCAATTTGTACGTAAACGGTCACAAAAGCAGTTGCCGGGGAAATGTATGGACTGTTGCTATGTAATTAATTACACCAAGTAACAACCGGTTTACGTTCAAACTTGAACAATAAACCGAAAGTTGGCAATAGTCGAACAAGCGCGCAATACTGTTGGCATTGGTTCTCAAACTTGGCTTCGATAATGTTTTTACACACACGAACGCTTTACCGAGTGTGGTTGGATTTGGGCTATGTTCGCGAGAACTCTAGAATTATTTAGTAGGTATAAATTGACATCGTTACTGTGATACAAAACTTATTTTATATTAATATGAAAACATTTTTTGACTGCTAAATAATGTTTTGTTTTTAAATAACTTTACTTGGTGGTACTATTAGTGCGTGTAGGTAAACAGGTAGCAGTAGTGACTTACCTCAGGTGGAATGTAAGTTTGTTTGTCACTAGTTTGTTACTAGTTTGTTACTAGTTTAATAAAGCCTGTTCTTTGAATTTTTTTACTTCATCTGAGTTTGAAACAGCAAGTTAAGATATAATCGTATTATAATTATAGACTTCACTCATTTTATCAATGGTATTAAAAATATTTTAACATTAAATAATATTATTCAACTCAATCGGATGTCAGTGAGTGCTTCAAAATTGACTGAAAAATTTGTACTGGAAAACTTATGAAGAAAGTAAGTTAATAATCGTGGAACTGCCAATTATAAATAATTAATTATATATCATACCAGCTATTATTTACTATTTGTGATTTCCTTAATTTGTTACTATTATTGTACAATATAATAATATTTAATGGTATAACATATAATGTTTGTAATGAAATATTTCTTTTTTTTTAATTAAAATAATAATTACTTTTGTTTTATATAAATCAAAAAATCTAGTAAATATTTAAACTCACTTGTTTCACCGGGCCTGTAATGGTGGCGGGCTGGTCGGACAATTACGTCTCGAACTGGCCCTAACAGCCTTATCACACTGTGACTTTTTGCCGTACATTCGTCACTTCCAACACAGCCTACTGTTGTATGAAGAGTACAATGTGTTGCTGGAGACGCTGGTATTTTGAGCGAAATGATGCCGTATCCTGAAACAAACAATAACTCAATGAATTTTATGGGTACAATAAAGTACAGTATAATAAAGGTTACTTATGTTTATATTTAGTGAAAAACACTTAAAAATATATCCGTATCTCATCATCATCATCATCATTACAGCCCTTCACAAGTCCACTGCTGAACATAGGCCTCCCCCAAAGAATGCCACAAAACACGGTCCTGAGCCACCTGCATCCATCGACTTCCTGCATGTCTTACCAGGTCGTCACTCCATCTCGTGGGGGGACGCCCTACACTTCGCCTACCGGTACGAGGCTGCCACTCGAGAACCTTTCTTCCCCATCGGTTGTCGGTTCTTCGAGCTATATGGCCGGCCCACTGCCACTTCAGCTTACTAATCCGTTGGACTATGTCGGTCACTCTGGTTCTACTGCGGATATCCTCATTCCTAAGTTTATCACGCAGAGAAACTCCGAGCATAGCCCTCTCCATAGCTCGCTGAGCGACCTTGAGCTTCCTCATACGGCCAGCAGTGAAGGACCACGTCTCAGTTCCGTAAGTCATCACTGGCAACACGCACTGGTTATACAATTTCGTTTTAAGGTTTTGAGGTATGTCTGACGAGAATATCCGTATCTGCTTTAATAGAATTTGAAAACATCGTGTCTCGTTCCGACAAACACAAGTTTGGAAGTAAATATTATTTAAATGAAACTGGTACGGTCCATTTAAATCCAACTAAGGCCTCGAGGGTTTTCGATACCGACAATAAAAGCATTTGGAGCACCTCCAAATGGAAAAGATGTCGAGGAAAATTCACAATCCGTTCGCCAACTAAGCACTTAAATGAACCAGACACTATTAAAAGGTAAGAGTTATTATATTCCGCAAGTACGACTACGTGACTGCGAAAAAAATTTGAAAGTGAAAATTTCTTTTGCGAGTAACTTAGTTGTACTTGTTGTTTGTTTCTTTATTAATAATATATTTTTTATATACAAAAAATTATAATAAAGTTAATGTTTCGCTTAATCATCCTCATCGTCACCAAAATTACAGCCCGTCACAAGTCCACAGCAGAAGAAAGACTTCCCTTAACAAATACCATGGAACTGAGGTCCTGAGCTAACTGCATCTATCAACTTCATGTATGGTCGTTACTACCTAGTCAGGTCATAAATTCTGTCACATGTTTAATATAAAATAATTGAAACAAGTTTATTCATTATGTAACCATTTATATATCAAAATGAACTTAACAAAACATAGATTCTTATGACACTAAAGTTTATTCAAAATGACCTCCGTGATTTTGAATACAGGCCTTCAATCTGCGCGGCCAGTAGTCTATCGCAGCACGAACGAGGTCCATGTCAATATCGGCGGCTGCCTTAATCAAGGATGTCTTGAGTGACTCCAAATTGGGATGAGGCTTTGAGCACACCTTTTCCAACAAGCAACGATGCAACGCAATAACTGCAACACGGTCTTCTTTAAGCGTCCACTCCATATTTAAAAATAAGTAAAATTCTAAAAAGTATACAGTTTTATTTTCATGAACAATTTGAAATTCGAATTCAATAAACTTTTTTGTGACCAGCATTCTAAAAGAAAAGTTTTTACTGTGTGACAATAGTTATGACCTGAATAGGTATATCGAGTTGTTCTACCCCGATTTTTAGTATGAGGCTGATTCTAGATCATTTCTTCCACATCGATTTTCTGTCCGTTGAGCCATATAGCATTGCTACTTAAGCTAAGCTTCAAAATTTAATTTCAATAACCTACCGAAAAAAGAAGAAGGTTCTCAATTTATACATATATATATATCGCAAGAGAATGGAATGATTTACATTTAAATATTGGATCAAATCAGGTAAACTCCTATAAAGTAAAATTCGTATAAATTTTTGGATGTTTGTTAGTTTATCGCGTTTATATGGCGCAGTGAATTTAAATTGCGCATTGACAGACAGTTTTAGCCTTTTTATTAATAAATTTAATAGGAGAGGGAGCGAAAGAACATATAGCTCACCTGATGATAAATGATCAAAACCGCAAATATCTGCAACATTAGAAAAATTGCAGATACTTTTCGGGCCATTTAGAAAACAGGGCATTTTTTTCTTAAAGTATTTTCTTTAAAGTAATAGGGTGACAAACGAGCACACAGTCTACCTGATAGTAAGTAATTGCTGTGGCCCGTAGACATCTACATTTCTCCTCAATTTCGTCTTAAAATACAGATGTGTTATCACCCGTGAGGACTAAGATGGAATGCCTCATTTCCAGTAAAAAGGGTCTCCAGTTCTCTACACTCACCATACGAAACACCGCAGCGTTAAACTGCTATTTTACGCTAAGTCATATCATCATCTCTAAGTCATATCGGCCCATAAAACTACTGGTGACAGTAAATTCTACAAATTCTTCAAGTTACTACGAGACTGTTTTCACGCGTTTATTGACCTTCAAAATATATTTATTCGCTCGCATAAATAACACCTATTCACCAACATTGTATCCTTGACATTAACTATCTTAAAAAAAAAAAACTGTGTCGTAGCTGTGCAAACTTTACGAGGAGCTGAGCTCCCAACTTTCTCTTACAGGCAAAGCTTTAGTCACGAAACCCATTACGGAAAGTGTCATTCAAACACGCTCTGTTACATATACCTAAGCGGATATTCCAAAATGTGACATGTATAGTTACAGCACAGTTTAGTTTAGCTTGGATCATTTGTATTTTTATTTTGATAAAGTTGCTAATTCGATAGATAATTTGAAACAGTATTTTTTATAGATGTAGAGTATGTAGAGTGACAAATGAGCACGGAGTCCATCACATGGTAAATGGTACATCTAACATTGATTAAGAATCTAAATCCAGAATCGTTGTTCCTTCAACGACTAAAATGTGATGCTTTGATACTATTTACAAGTTCCAAGTTCTGGTCACTCACTATATGAAACGCAATAGTGTTATGTCTGTGCAAGCGTGATCCTTCCCCGATCGAGTAAACCCATTCTTATTACAACGATAAAATAGCTGCAACATGGCTCTACCACGGAATACAGCGTGACTACTTCATAAAAGTTAAAATAAGCGTCTACAAAATCTTATATTATTGTATATATATACTTTTTTATTTATTTGTTGTTGGGGAGTCCTCTAACGACTTAAATGATTATTATTATTATTAATAATAATAATTTAAAAAATAATATTTTGTTTTATTTCTAGTTGGAGAGTCCTCTAAAGGCTTAAAGGATTATTATTATCATTAATAATAATAATTATTTGCTTATTTCGGACAAAAATATCCATAATAATCAAACTCAGCATTGCAAACCACACTCTCCAATGTTTCTCAAAAGTAACGCCTAATGCTTTTAATTATCTTGGAAAGTTTTGAAAAAATTATTTGTCAAGTGATTTAACGATCGTATTACCAGTCGTATTGCACGTTCGACGTACAATCAATATGGTAAAACCGCCATCTTTCGAAATCCCTGAAATCTCTTCGGCATTTCCTATAGTCGCCTTATGATAGCCATAAGATGAAATAGGGAGTTTGAAGTGCGAACGCTGTCGCCACACGATACAACGATAACATTTGCACACATCTGTAATTATATTCCGAAAAAAAAAACGATAGAAAACGAAACTGAGTGAAGCTTAAAACAGTAACAACTCGTTACATCCCTAAACAAAACGTATTTACGACCATTATGAGCAGTAAAAGAGAATTTTGCAGGAAATTTCTTTATTTGCGAACCAACAGCTGCTGTAAAGTTTTGGAAACATTCAAGGCGAACTCATTTGGATTAAGACTTACAAACAGGAGTGTGAACAATGGTACACATTAATGAACACTCTTTTAGTAAGTTTCGTCGACTCAACACAGAAAAAAAGTCTTTTCAAACAATTTTATTAACAAGAGCATAGAATTTTATTAAAAGACTTATAAAAATAGTAATTTGTTTCTAGAGATATTTAACCGAGGTATGGTCCATCACTGCTGGCTGTAGAACATATGAGGAAACGTTAAAAGGATAGAATCTATAAAGGGCCTTTTTAAATTTATAAGGTTATCAACAAATTAGTAGCATGCAGATGCGATGGGCCAGTAATACATTTCATACCGCAAACACATGAGTCTAAGCGATTTAGACCTATCTAAAGCAGAAATGAATTTTGCCTCATTATTTTAAAAGCTAGTATGTTTGTTTACATGAAGAATTTTTAAGCTTATGAGCATCATCCAAGCAAGCGTAAATTAGTGAAAACGCACTAAGATATTTTAAACATTTTTTTTCGTATGACGATGTAAGGCTTCTTATGTTGCATTTTATTTAACATATCAAAATATAATATATACATTTTTATATATAATTTTATTTTTTAATAGAACAGAGTTTATAAGCATGTTTATATATAATATTTAATGTTGTATTAAGTTTCCATTATGCTATCGTATTACGATGCAATTTTTTAAATTTTAATTTTTTTAAGAATCAATATTATGTATGTACTTAAATTATATTTAAGAACCAAAATAAATTAAAATGAGAGATTAAAATGTTGGAATGGGAATCTTTAACGAACTCCTACGAATAGTTTCAGTCGATAAAATATTTTACAAAGACGTACCTTATAGCGGCAACATAAATACATATTCTGTGAAAATTTCAACTGTGTACCTATTACGGATCATGAAATACAGCCCGCTGACTGACAGACAGACGGACAGCGGAGGCTTCGTAATAGATTTCCGTTGGTTACCTTTCGGGTACGGAACCCTAAAAAAGCTTAATGTAACAAACACAACTGCAAAATACCAGTGACACCCGATGCGAATTGGTTAGTGTACCGTGTATAGTGTAGAGCCTATGAAGGCTCTACACTAACCAATTATACTACACTAATTAGTTCCACCTAGTAAATGTTAGTGAGCCTGTGTGTGTGTGTGTGTGTGTGTGTGTGTGTGTGTGTGTGTGTGTGTGTGTGTGTGTGTGTGTGTGT